ATGTATCAGAATTGACATCATGTTTAAGAGATTTGTTGAAAAAAACAAGTTATCTGGAACTGGAATGTAACACAGAAAAGCATTTAGAAGACTAAAAGCTGTCTTAGTAAATAAACCAGTTTACAGTATTATGATATAAAGATGCTAGTAGTTTTATCTGTAGATGCATCTCAAGAAGGACTAGGAGCAGTCTTACTTCAGAATAATTTACCAGTAGCATATGCATCTAAGGCATTAACAGATACACAGAATAATTATGCTCAAATTGAAAAGGAAACTTTAGCTATTGTATTTGTGTGTAAGAAATTTCCCCAGAATATATTTGGAAAAAATATTACTGTGGAAAGTGACCATAAACCACTGGAATCAATTTTCAAAAAGACATTAAATAAATGCCCTGTAAGATTACAAAGAATGCGTATAAGATTACAGCCATATCAGTTTGAGATAAAATATAAACCAGGAAAAGAACTTTTTATAGCGGATCATTATCAAGATCATTCACTGATAAAGGATCTGATTTCTTTGAAGGAGATATAGAAGGGCATGTTGGATTAGTTGTAGAATATATACCAATGTCTAATGGTAAAATGGAAGTTTTTCAACTGGAAACAGAAAAAGATGAAGAACTACAGGTTTTAAGAAAATTAATTAAAACTGGATGGCCAGATGAAAAATGTATGGTTCCAAAACTAGCAAAACCATATTTTAACTTTAGAGAAGCACTATCAGAAGCAAATGGATTAATATTTACTAAAGAACCAATGATATCTAAAGAAATACCTAATGGTCCATGGGAAGAATTGGGAACAGACCTCTTTTACTTTCAAGGAAGGGATTATTTAATAGTAATAGATTATTTTAGCAAATATGTTAAAATTGGACATTTGGAAGATTTGTCAAGTGTAGCAGTCATAAAGCAATTGAAATCAATTTTTGCAAGACTTGGTATTCCGAAAATAGTATACTATTCGGATAATGGTCCACAATATAATTGCAGGAAATATAAAGATTTTGCAAGTAGATGGAATTTTGAAACCAGAACTTCAAGTCTAAATTACCCACAATCTAATGGAATGGTTGAAAGACATATTCAAACTGTCAAGCGAATGTTAGAAAAAGCTGTAGTTGACAACAAGAATCATATTTAGTATTACTGGAATATCGTAACTCTCCTATTTCAGATGAAATTAAGTCACCTTCAGAATTGATGTTTGGATGAAAAGTAATTGGATTGATGCCTATAAAAGAGAATTTCGTCCAAGCTAAACGATATGAAGACCATAAACAAACATTTACTGAAGAGACAAACCTTACAAAAAAGTTATTATGATAGGAATGCAAGACCGTTAAAACCACTGAAAACAGGAGATCATGTTTACATAAAAGAGAAAGGGAAAAAACTAAATGAAAGAGGAAAATTATAGAAGAAGCTGAAAAACCACGTTCATATAGAATTATAAGAACAGATGGAAGAATTGTAAAAAGGAACAGAAGAGACCTTTTTAAAGGAAATAATCAGAAAGATTTTGCAATACAAAACAACTATGAGAATGAAGTTATAGATGAACCCGAGATACATGAAAATAGTAGGAGCACTACAAATTTAGATGTGCCTGTAAGTCCTTCAAAACCTAACAGAAGTGTTGTGTCACCAAATAGTGAAAGAGGTATAGTATCATCAAATTTTTCATATGGACATAACTACGTTACTTGATCTGGTAGGACTGTTAAGAAACCTTATTATTTAAAAGAATATGTTTAATTTTACTACTATTATTATTTTTTATAAAAAAGGATGTTATATATGTAACTGTATCTATTATTATCTTTAATCATAACTGTAATATAGAATGGTAGATGAGCAATGTAGAATAAACGATGTTTGCGTACATCTTGTAATCATCACTGAGCACATACCCAACATATATAAAATACAACACACATTACAGAAGAAACTAATAAATAGGCACAGCAATGCATTGAAAGGCAGCATCTGAAGCCAAATGACTATGAAATGAAAATCCATGTTTTAGAGGATATTATTCAGAAGCCAGATGTCACAATGTTTGGGTCAAAAATGACGTCTTGAAACTCCATTCTTTTGCGAAACTATGTCCTACTACAGATTTCAAATAATAAGAAAATATTTACATTTTGTGAACAGCGAAGAAGTCGACCTTGAAACACACCCTAATGCAAAACTGCACAAAATTTGGCCATTCCTGTAAAAATCTGAGGGATATGAAATTCATGACAGCTGATATAAGTAATAATATTGTTGTATTAGTGTATTATATTTATCTTGAAAATTATGTCATTTGATTAGTTTTGCTATAATTAAAGTTTAAAAACTGCGTAATCCATTAATATTAAATAAATAATATATATAAAATGTGAAAATATTGAATATAGTAGTTATTTTGTTTAAAATTTGTTTTTTAAAAAATAATCTATTTCTAACATTTTGATGATAATAACAAACAAAATTAAAGAAGGGAAAAAATACATTTCTGGCACGTTTTTCTCAAATATATTCCACAGGCAAGGGGTTAAAGAACAGTTGTCTGACAGGAGGCCACGTCAGAATAATGAAGACTGGTTACAGTTCGAGAGTGCTTGTGCTGGAGTAAAGCAAGAGTTCAAGAGTTGATGGGCAAATGTTGCTAGAAATTTTGTGAGGCCTGTGCAACCCAGAAACGACTGAAGAAACACAATCATTGGAAGCTGTAATGTTACAATGTATGAGCGTCTTTCGAATGCATTGCCTATATGTAACTATAACTGTATATGCCTTCTAGCAATTTCAAGAAATCAAAGGGACTGGAAATTTCTCAGCAGACAGGAAACTATAAAAGACCAGAGAGAACATCAGTTCTCAGTTTTTAGTTCACAGCATTGAGAGATCTCCTGTGAGCTTCACTCTTTAGATGCACCTTGCACTGCATTGTATTTAATATTCTTAGCAATTTAAAGTGGTAACAAGTGATTGTGTTCTGTCATACAGAGAAGAGCTGTATGAGTACTTTGCGAAAAGTTCCAGAACTGTAAGAAATTTCTTTAGGAAAAACAAATTTTATCAAGCTATTATCGGTTCTAGGTGCATTCAATTCATTAGGAACCTGTACACATGTAGTAATATTATGAAGACATTAATACGATAAACATCTTTCTAATGGAACTTTTTATTTGTACTGGATGGGAAGACAAGGCATAGCTGAAAAGCTCCAACTGGGTGTAGGTTAAAAAAGGTTATTATTTTATGTTGTTACTTTTGCAGAGAGTATTATTTTGCCTGTCGTTTATTAGGTTAGCTTTCAGAGTAGGCATATCAGATTGAAAGTAGAGGTTATAAAAATTCTACACTGTCTGAGCAAGAAAATATTTTATTATATATTTATTACCAAAATCAGGCAACATTCGAAGTGAGACTTTATTTCTGAAAGGCTGAAGCCAGTTACACAATTTAAAAATAGCTTCAACTGATGAGTCCTCTACTTATGAAGGCTGGTTGTCTCTTATAAAGTTTGTTTCATTATCTCTATTTTGGACCTTCAAGATTAAAGTGTGACATTTTTTATTTATAAGCTTAATATAGTATCTATAAGTTACATATGTTATACAGCAAAATGTAAGGCATTTTCTAATTACATATAATATAATTTATTAAGATATGTCAGTTCTTAAAAGCAGTATAGTAAAGGTTGTATTATCTGTCACTGGACTAACTGGAAAGCTCAAGTAACTGGAATATTTTATAATTTTAGAAAAATGTAATGAATGACAAATTTGTTATGCTATTACACAGCTTGTAACACACACTATTAATACACTGTCCCAAACAATGTGATTTAGTGCCAGTCATGGATAAACATGATGTCACAACACAATCATAAAAAGTTCGTTTTAGTTTAAAGTAAACTCGATGAGGATGTTTATTTATTTTTTTTAAAGAAGAATTTAAGTTCTAGTTTTTATTTGCATTCTGAAAAATGGTTAATATTTGTGACAGCATGCATTTTAGTATTTTCAAAATTACAGGACAGGGCATTAAAAAAAAAGTCTTGATACATGACTTTTATGGATAAACAATGGCAATGTAATCTGAAAAATTATGATTAGTGTTTTAAATTTTTTACACACTATATCCATAACTTGTAGCTCTTTATCATCTAACTAAATAAAAAAAAAAAATGATAGGTTCCTTTTAACTTCTGCTGAGATAACTGGCAGCATCTCCTTTAACTTTTATGTCCAGCCAGATTTTACAATCAGATCAGATGTTTTACATTTAAAGCCTAAAAAATATGTCAGCTTTTATGCATGAAATGCATTTCCTCCCCAGAATCTGAATTTTTTTCTGCAGCGAGAGACTATCTTGAAATATTCACATGCATCACTGCTTTCTTGATACTTTTGTTATGCTTAAAAACAGCCGATAATTTGCCACTTCACAAATTCTTCCACATGATTCTTCAGAGCTACAAACTGTTTTGTGTTCTGATATACTGAAATCAAATGCTCTACTGTAATAATTCATTCAGATATTCACTTTTCACAAAGTGCTTGACTCACCGTCAGATGATGTAATGCCTTGATTTGCATATCAAAAACTATTTGAACATTTCTGATTGAATAATGCTAATTAGGCTTATTTTTCACACATTTCCTGCAAAAATAGATTACGTCGATAGGATATTTAATGGAATATCATTTTGGGTACGTAAAGAGAAATTTAGACATCAGTATATTTTACTGGGGCTAGTCGTAAAAAAATTATACAGAATTTAACATGAAAACAAATATTATAGTAATTTCAAATAGGATAATAACAAAAAAAAAAATGTATCTTCAACTAATTATAGGATTTTATACTGAATCAAACAAATTTTAGCTCTTATTAACCTACATTTTACATGAAAATATTATTTTTATACACGGCCACACATATACATCCCCCCTGAAAAAAAAAAAAAAAAAAAAAAAAAAAAAAAACTTACATTATCACTAGGTTTTCCTGGATTTCTTGGAGATCCTATTCCACCTTCTATTGAGAAACCCAGTTCAGGATTTTTTAAAATAATGACAGGAAACTGTAATAGAAATAGCCAATCAAATTAAAAGTTCTATTTTGAAAACTATTCTATAAAAAAAATTGCACTGAAATTATTTAATAAAGCAGAATTTACATAAAATTATTCAATAAACATTAAAATAAACTTCATATTGTGTAACAATAAGAATAACAATTTTATTTCAAAACAATCACACTGGCAAAGTGCGTTGGATTTATAATGATAGAAAGGAGTTAAGCATATTATTTTACTTTTCCAATTTTATCATAAATAATTAATTACATTAAATTAAAAAATATTTGTAAACTTTTATCCTTCCTATAGGTAAACAATGAATAAATAATTAAAACTGTCTTTAAAAAGAATATATACTCACAACTAATGAATTTTTGTGTGTTCCAAAAAACCAAGATTGCCGTTTTGGTGATTCAGGGTTTTTGTACTTAATAGATTCAATTTGTTCACTGTGTGGATTGATATCTTTTGCTAACTCAATTTCATCTTTATTTATTATTTTGTCCTGATTTTCTGCAAGAATCAGTTCTTTTTTTTCATTGGGAATAATTCGACTAATTAGATCAGGCATATTTTCTTTCTGTAGTTGTTCATTCTTTTCATTATTGACATCTTTCATTTTAATAATATCTATTTGCAACACAGAATTTTGTTTTGAATCATTTTCTATCAATGTCACAGTGTTCTCGGACACAAGTTTTGCTTTTGATGCATCTTCCAAAGGTTTATGTAAAATGTCATTTGATAAAGAACTTTCTTTTGAATTTTGTAATGTTGAATCAGATGTAGTGGGAATTGCCATTGATGACCTTTTTGGTGGTAATGAAGGTGGGATATGAGCAATATTCTTTTCTGTACAAGAATAATCAGTACATACTGAATGTGTTTTGGGTGGTATAGATGGTGGTGTTGTCTCTGCAACGGATGATACTTTATTATTTTCATCTTGTTTGGTGTTTATTTGCTCTGCACAAATCTGATTATCATTGTCTTTTGAATTTCCCTCTCCTTGACTGAAACTCTTTCGTGCATTGCAAGGTTTTAATTGAAAATTTTTATCAATAGGAGGTAATACTTTCTGAAATCTTTTATCAGAAGAACGCAATTTACTATTTTCAACCGAACATTTTGACTCTTCAGATGCATATTTTTCTGTACTCAGTTCTTTCTGTTTGGGTAATTTATTTGCCAGACTATAATTTGTAATTTTCATATTTTTAGAATTTTCTCGGGCAATTTCATTTTGAATATGATTGCCTTTTGCATGATCTGATAAAGCAGAAGAATGATGCTGAAAACTTTTATTTAAATTTGATGGCTGGCAAATGTTTTCTGGTGGCAACTTACAATTTTCATCTTTATAATTTTTTATAGATGGCTCATAAGAATTCATATTAGATCTTTCAGGTATTAAAGCCACATTTCTCATAGATATCAGACTTTTTTCTTTTTTTGGTAACTCTGGAGGTTGGTCTTTATTTTCAACTGTCACACACTGTTCGTTCTGACCAGACTTCACTTGAACAGGATAACCAGGTTTTGTAAGTACTTTTGATGAAAATTCAGATCTATTATTATCCTTTCTGACAATTTCTGGTGGAGCTGAAGATGGCCGAATTTGCTGCACATTCTGAAATGCTGATTTCTGTTTCACTTCTGAAGTTTTATTTTCAACATTTAAGGATTTATTAATGTAATTAACAATTCCACCAACAAAACCTGCCTGCTTTTTTGATTCAAAGCCGGAACTTGTTCCTTGCGCAATAGTGCTGTTTATGTTGGTTAATGTGTCTTGACAATGAATACCAGAACTATTAGAAACAAGTTTTGGTTCATCTGATTCAGAATTTTCTGCTTTTGAATCTTTTACAATATTGCATTTTGATTTCAAATCTTCTTTACTGTGCATTTGTTTTGCTTCACTTTCACTGGACTCTTTTCTTTGAAGTGTTGCATGTACACTTGGAATGTTCACAGGCACAGCTTGAAAGCAACCTGGTTTTCGAAATACAGATGGCCTTTCATTTGTATTGTGAGACAATATAACTTCTTTGTTATTAGCTACTGAATTGCATGATTCAGTAGTAATCTGCTGAGGAATAATTTTACTAGGTTTAGGAGCTATAACTGTATACGAGTTGTGAACAGTTATTGGGGTATTTTCATCAGTTTTGTGTTGCAGTAAAGAGGTTGATGGACCAGTAGCATTTACAGTCTCTTTCTCTATTTCATTCCTTGACTTTTCTTCAGATGATATTAAAGTTTTATTACTCTCTGGTGGTACATGATTAAAAGTGCGATCCTCAGGACTTTTTAGTTTGGGAGATGAGGATAGTTCCATTTTAGCATTATTAGTAACCTCTTTATTAGGATCACCTGGAAAAGGAGTAAAAAAATCTTACTTTTTATGCCAAACACTAGCATATTCTATTTTTTGAGGTTACAACACTGCGTGATGTAATTTTAAATAACAATAAAATATAACTGTTGATCTAAAATATTATTATTTTCCAAACCCAAAGTTACTGAAGGTTTTGTTACTAACTATTGCGTTTTCTGTAAATGATCTAAAACTTACAAAGTAGAAAATTTATATATATATAAAGCAAAAACTTAATCATTTTAAATTGAAAAAAAATTATACCATCTTGGAAAAATTCTTTAAACTGAATATAAAAAAGATAACCTATTAAATTTTATAACAAAGTAAAATGCAAATTAACACAAAAAGATAAAAAAAAATTTAGGAAAAGTTTTATATATTTTTTAAAGAATTTTCTATATACATGTGATAAAACTGAACAAGCAAAAGGAAAACAAATAAGAGAATAACCAATAAAACATTTTGAGCAAATAAATAGCATTGCAAATTAAAAATGGAGTCAAAAGAATTCTTGCAAAATAAAATAAAAAAATCTATAAAATAAAATATAGTGGTATAAATTACAAAAAATGGAAAAAGCTTCATTATTATCTTCACTCTAACATTGTCAAGAGCAAATAAAGTCATCTTATGATGATACACTTTTCCTGGCAGATTTGTTCTGTTTCAATACACTTAATAAGGCACTGAATTAATGACATAAATACTCAAAGTACCTCTGTAAATTAAAAACTTCTTCCTTACAAAACAAATCTGTTCCCCCCTCCAAAATATTAAATACTAGTTCCCAGTGAAAACAAGTGAAAAAATTTAAAATAAATATAAAATATATAGTACTTCTTAAATTTTAATTTATAATACTTAGTTAATAAATTTAAATTTGCATCTCATATGCGATGGTAAGGAATAATTACAATAGTGGATACAGACCAAAAAATATAATTATTTGCATCTCGAACCTCTGGTAAAACAAAAACCATTACAATCAGGAATTTTGAGAGGGAAGAAAGGAATGTGCAGTAGAGTTTCTATTGGTGAAATTTTATTTTTGCAAGGCAGTTTTGGGGGATGGGGTGGAACTGAATTTAAAAAAAACTGTAAATTTGGTCAGGTAATGAAAAATGAAAATGTAGTAACAAATGTTGAAAAGATTTTTGCGCTAATCGGCAGACAATTGTGACTTTACACTTTTCTAAAAGTAAGTAAAACACTTTTCTAAAAGACTGCCAATTTTTTTAGTGAAAGAAAGAATGGAAATATTATACAAAATTTACAAAAATTATATTATTTGCATTTATATACTATGAAATTCCTTCTCACACATCCATACCATTCCTCCTAAAATAAAGAATCCTTAAAAATACCTTTCATATCATTAAATAAAATTTCACAGGTTTTAGAATACTCCAGCTTTTTTTTTAACTGTAAATTAATGAAAAACAATGTAATTTGATTATTCTTCAAAGTGTCTATATGTATTAAAACGTTTTATTGCTGTTCTACTTCAGTACAAATATTTTTAATAAATTTTATTTGATTATTTATAACATTACTTAAATATTTTTTGGAAATTTTAGAAAACCAGTTAGAAAGTTTATAATAGTAGAGCTCAAATCTCTTCTTCCATCATAAAGCCTTAATTCTTTAAGACTGACACTGCATAGATAATCTAGTTGTAATTGATCTGAATTGAGAGAAAAACGGAATATCTTACTGTGCCAGCATTTTAAAACTGCACACGTATTTCATGTTTAAAATTGTAAATGTCAAATTTCATATCATTTCCCAGCTAAACTTTTAATATGCATTATTCTACACTAAAAAATAACAATAATTTTATTGTTAATTTATAGGATATTAATGATTAAGGAATCAGAGTATTTGATTCGTGGTAAACATGCAAATAAACATCAATTATTTACACATTAATAAGTATAAAGGATGCAACTATCAATTCATTACTTATATGCAGTAACAAACACAAAAGCTAAAATTCAACTGAATACACAGAACTAGACTGAATGCCATGCACTGACATAAACTGAAATAACAAAAGATGAGCATTCCCACATAATGAATTAATTATACGAGCAAATTCTTTATAAAGCTAATTTCATACTTAGTTTTCCTAAAAAAATTTGCAGTTTTATCAAGTAAAAGTTTTTTCAACACATATGCCATTTGATTTACCTCAATATAACATAAGTCTCTATTTTTTTTTTTTTAAATTATACATTTCTAAAAAATAAAATGATTAAGACATTATTCTTGATAGGTTTAAAAGTCAAGTCATAAACACAGAAAATAACAGCCAGCAAAAATCTCTTCAGCCTAGTCCTCTCTAAAAATTTAGATTAAATATAAAGGATTTTAACCCATTTAGTTTAGTTTTCTAACATCACAAGCAAATCTCTGTGCAATGAGTTTTATTTAAACTACCTGCTTTAATCCAATGTCAGCTTCGGTCCATCAAAGGAATGACAGCTTAAAATAAAATGAATAATGTTTTAAAAATAAAACCTTTATTAACATTTGAAATTGATGGCAAATGAGAAATTTCAAGATAAATTTAAGACTTTGGAAAAAATTAAATTCTTTCACAGTTCAATTTTTTTTTCACTTTTTTTGCAAGAAAGAAATCTGAATTGCTTTGCAGTAAATGCTTCTCAATACAGTGGTGTATCAACATGTATTAGAAAGTTATTGGAAATAATTTGTAATCAATACCATAAAAGAAATGGAATCTGTAAAAGCTATACCTTTCATAGATGAATAATCAATAAAAGAATCATAATTATTTTAAAGCTATTATTTTCATAAATAAATTCTACTAGATATCTTTAATGTGATTTCATTAGATGGAAATACACAATAGATCTTAAAAATCTATTAAAAATTAATTTGTCATGCACATGCCTCCTATAGTATATGAAATAAAAATAAACACTATTGAACCTATTGAAAACCTGCATGTCACACACAGAATCAATGTGCCTTATTACTGTGACAGCAGGCACAGCAAACTTATTTAGCTTCGTTAAGTTGCAACTCCATAAAAGAATCCTTAGCACATGAAAGATAAAAAATAACCTAGTATGGAACATGTAATGGAAAACTTAATCAAGTTTCTAATACTTTCCCACAATTCTTTGCATACATCATTATTTAAAATAAATTTAAGGTAAGAAAAATATTTATGGAAATTAAAATGTATTTATTTTTCAGTTATACATTAATCATTTCATTATTATCTATGGTGTAGATGAATTATAGGATTTAAAAGAGAACTAAACATATTAGTATTTACTAACTTAAAAATATATTTTTATATGATTACATGGGCATACCTGCCTGCTGTACAAATAAAATAGTCGTATAAGAGCTATTGGTTGCTCTTATACAACTACTTTATTTGTACAGAGGAAAGCCTTCTTTACAGAATTTTGTTTTCACACATATCTACTAATAGCCTTTAAGTTGTACCTAAATTTGACATTAGCGTTAATTTTAGTAGATTAGTCATCATTTGCGAAGATACTGAAGACTAAATTTTTCATTTACATTCAATTTAAAATAAAATTTCTAATTAAAATTTGAAATTTAATTTATATTAATTAAAATTTTTAATTTAAATTTAAGGTGCCTGCTTTAAAATACTTCAAAAACTTATTTTTTTAAAGAGCATTTATTTTCTAAAGGAAACAACAAACAATAACAATATTTTACAAAAGATATCCGAAAAAAATTATTTGTACAGAGGAAAGCCTTCTTTACAGAATTTTGTTTTCACACATATCTACTAATAGCCTTTAAGTTGTACCTAAATTTGACATTAGCGTTAATTTTAGTAGATTAGTCATCATTTGCGAAGATACTGAAGACTAAATTTTTCATTTACATTCAATTTAAAATAAAATTTCTAATTAAAATTTTTAATTTAATTATATTAATTAAAATTTTTAATTTAAATTTAAGGTGCCTGCTTTAAAATACTTCAAAAACTTATTTTTTTAAAGAGCATTTATTTTCTAAAGGAACAACAAACAATAACAATATTTTACAAAGATATCCGAAAAAAATTATTTCAATAATGGTACAAAATGTTTACATAAATTACTAAACTGTTACGATTTTTAACCAGTAACTGACTTGGTGATCATACTAATTTTAAACAGGAAAAAGTTAAGAAGAAAGTCATAAGGGTGTATGTATGTAAGTATGTACCCTATACAAGGTAAATCTGAACAAGGGGGCAAAACTTTACAGGGTGATAGGATACAGCTGTACAAGCAATATTCTTGATAGAATGTATGGTTGAAATACAAACGATGAGAAGTTAAAAGGTAGATTTTTCACTGAAACATTTAAAGAATTAACACAAGAATGAGAGGATATACTTTAGAAAACATTTTATGAACATGAATATAATTGATGCACAGTTCAATCAAAAGAACTTTCAGAGGTAATGCAGGCTTTATACTTGCATGATAGGGAGCGACACACATTTGTGAAGACACCATTTCCTGAGTACCACTGGGAACAATGCCAAACCTGATGGCTAGATACATATTCATTTCAACAGGACATTCATAGTGTACGCTTTTCATATGTACCTACAGGAAAAATTCCAAACACAAAAGATCTGATGATCTTGGTGGCTAAGCTATGAGACCACCTTGACCACTCTATTGCCCTGGAAATTTCGTGGTCCATATAACCAGCCATTGTCTTGGCAATCTACAACAGAAAATGCCATTGGGTGCAAGGACTAACCCTTTTTATACCATTTACAATGCCACCCAGCAGCTCACTATTTGTGTTCCACATAGACTTTATACGACAAAATTGCTTTTACAATGCCACCCAGTAGCTCACTGTTTGTGTTCCACACAGACTTATGACGAAATTGCTTGTACAGCTGCATACTATCACCCCGTAAAGTTTTGCCCCGTTGTTCAGATTCACCCTGTATATATCTTTAAGCACAACAACATATAAATATTCAATAACAGGTTTTATACACTATTTTATTATTTTTAGTTAAAAATAACATGTAGATACAAAATAACTAAAATATGATCTTGAAGAAAAGCCAGAGAAAATCACAATGGCATATGTATTGCACTTGAAATATTGCACTAGATTAAATAAATAAATAAAAATACAATTCAAAATTATTACGGTATAAAGAAATTCATATATACCTCTCCAATTTTCAGATGATGTCAAATATGCAGATGTTGGAGGAGATGTACTTGGAATAATGTTAATACTTGGGACAGAACGATTCAGGTGCTGAATATCATTCACATCACAGTTTTCAATATTTTGGATGTGGGCTGGAATAGATCCACTGCGATACTGCAGATTGCTTGAGGGCATAACTCCATACTCAGTTTCTTGGGTTTTAGTGAAAACATCCTGGTTGACAGTACTTTGTAATGCTTGGTTATATGGATCTAAAGATGTACTAGGCATAAGATTTCCCTGTCCACTGGGAGGGTAATAATTAGAACCATGGACTATAGGTGGGGGCAGCATTGGATAAGGCCTTGATATCAGTGCAGAGTCATCAACTGTTGACATCATAAACTGATGAGCAGTTTGTTTCATGCGAGGGGATGGTGGCATTGTTGGATACATTTGCGATGGAGTAGGGAAATTTCCTTGATACTGAGTATGTACATTTGGCATCGGAGGAGGAAAATGTATTGTATTCATTGGCTGAGTAGTAATTGGGTAGCCCTGAGAATATGGTGGTGTCTGAAAATGTGGTGCAAATTTTGGATAAGGCTGAGGAGAATACTGAACAGTAACTCTGTCAATACCCGGAGAAGGAGATCGTCCAGGGCGAGGTGAACCAGTGGGGATAGGAGGATGCAGATTACCTGTCTGATGAGGAATGAGATGATATTCTTGTGGACTACCATGTAAAGGAGCCTGTACACTCAAGCACTGAGATCGCTTCAAGCGAGGAGAAGGAGTAGAAAGTCTTCGTGGTAATGTTACAGTACTGTTACAAGCAACTGATCCAGGATTAGGCATACGTTGTGTCCAGAAATGAGGAGTAGCCCGCTTGTAACCATCACTATCTTCATAATATTGCGATTGAGTTGGTGCTATCTCAGATCTCTGATTTCGAGCATACAGGTATGCTGCATTATCAGCAGCAGGAGGATATGAATGACTCATATCATATGTTGGATAAAACTGACCAGATGCTGGATCCTAAATTAAAAAATACATAATATCAATGAAATTTTAAGAATTTTCACAGAAAAGTATTGTTTTAGATCTTTTTTAAAATTTGATCAGATAGCCCTGTAAAATGAAATTTTTCTCTTTCATTTTCATTAAATATTTATAAATTTATGTACTTTCGAAAATAAAATTTTAAGTACATAAAATGACTTAGGGGAGAAAACTCTGATAAGACCGCGCATTTTAATTTTATTTTGAAGTACAACAAATTATTCATTCAGATAAGTAATCAATTTCAAATAATCTTATAAATGCAATTAAGAATTTAATAAATGTTAAAACAAACCATTACTGAAACTATTATTTGAAGTTTATTACATATGAATTTCAATTTTTGGTCTTTGTGAAAAATTGGTTCTAAATTTCTTACTTTATGTCTTTACTGATAATTTTTCAGCAGCTTAATGCGTGAAATTCAAGACATATATATATATATATATATATTTAAGTTGTTTTGTATCACCCTTATCATCAAAATTAAAGGATAATGAGAAAAAATATGCACAATAAGTTAATGTTGCAACCAATGCCAATTTATGCATTAAATATAATTGAACAAAAAATTGAACTTCTGTGTGTATATTAGTACTGGTAATATGCAAATTTGGTCTCAAAGGCATCATTTAAATGAAGGTCAAAAGTAGAGAATAATTGGTAGAATCGAGGGAGGTCAAACACATATGGAGGTCTCCCAAGATTTGAACATCCCTTTATGTGTCATATCAAGAGTTTGGAACCGCTTTTTAAGCATGGATCAGTCGATAGACAGCCTGGTTAAGGGCAACCAACAGCAACAACTACATCAGAAGACTGTTTTCTGTAGCTGTTAGCTCGAAGAAACCATGCAGTGACTACAAGCAATTTGGTTTTTGACTTTCAGGTTGTGATAGGAACTTGAATTAACCATTCTACTGCTGCACAAAGGCTTAACAAGGTTAGACTGTATGCATGAAAACCAATGGTTTGTGTCCTACTCACTCCAGCTTCCAGAGGGGTTTGTTTAGACTTGTGCTATTGTCATTTTCAATGAAGCCAAGATGACTTAGCCCAACTTTTATTTACTGATGAGTCCAGATACAGCCTGAACAGTAAATCTAGACATGTGTTGATCTGGAGAGAGGAAGGAATGCAACTTGCCTTCTCTTGTCCATGTAATATCCCGTTTCTGTGACCACGGTTTAATGGTTTGGGGAGGAATCACGACAAATGGCTGCACCTAGTTGCGTACCTTTCAAGAAACCCAGAGATTTTTCTAATAGATGACAATGCTCAACCTCATCAAGAAGATGTGGTGTTGGAATATCTGCAAACAGATGATATCACTCAAATGGACTAGCCACCTTACCCACACGACTTGAACTCAATTCAGCATATGTGGGAAACCTTACGGCAACAAATTTCAGTGTGCCAGATTCCCTCCCATATCTTCCAGGAGCTGAAAAGTGAATTTTTAGAAGAGTAGCATGCACGTTCACAAGATTTGATCAACACTTTGATAAAGTCTATGAAATCAAGATGTGAGGTATGCGTATTTGTCCAAGGTGGCCAGACACGAAATTGAAAAAAATATTTTCCCACAACAGGTGACTTAATTTTCCCATCATTTTCCAATTTCCATAAATTTGGTTCTCGATTTCAATATTTTGCAAATAATTATCTGCCAAACATTGTAATATACATTAATTAATGCTTTTATATATATTTCTATTGATTATTTTTATCTACAAGTATTATAGTTATGTTTTATTTCTGTCATTATCCTTTAATTTTGATGGTGAGCATGCATAGTGCATATAAAGCTTTTAATGAGTCCAATTACTGTAATTTCATTGAGTCCAGCTAGTATAATTTCATAAAAAAATTTACTGATTTGGATAATAAACTAAAAGTATTGCTTTTTTTATCACGCTAATTTCATCAATCATTTCAGTGCGATGACTCTACACTTTGGATGCAACAGAAATTAAACAATAAACTGTAATGATTAGTGCAGCTCATTAGATAATTTCTTTAATATTCAAATGCTTCTAATTATGTTTCAAAAAGGATTATAATTGAGAAAAGTGTTTTAAAGTATTTTATTTTATAGTGCACAAAAGCATCATATTGTTTAAAACTTAGATATGGAATATGAAATATGGATCAGCTTATTTCTTTCCTTCAGACCTTCTCAACTAAATTTATACTGTTCTGATATGCTATTCTGTCTTTCAGTATATATTGGTAGTAAAGATATTAGCTCAAATATCAACTGTTTCATTTTATTTTGCGTTTATTTTCATTGCAGTATTTGAGGATATGTGACACAACGATCATTCTGTAACAATCATAATATATATATTATTGCTGCAAACTAATCTACAATATTATTTAAATTCTGAGAGCATATGAAAATCAAGTGCAAGTATCAAAATCCATAAATAAATATATAATTCCAAAAACAATTTTAATCCCTTATTTTTGTCCAGTATTTAGTAAAGTTTTATTAAACCTGTTGAAATTCAGTTTTAATAAATTAAGACCATTACAATAACTTACTTTAATTATAAACTTTACAATTCTTAATATTTTACAATCCTTAATAATTTGCAACCATTTTTTCACATAATTTTACAGTTAGCGTTTTTACAATTTTTTATACATTTTTACAATATTTCACAGTTAGCAGCATTTTTTGAAACAAAACACAAATTTTACATTACTTAAAAGTTCACAGAATAGGTTTTTAAAATTCATTCTGTGTACTATGGTAGACAGTAACTATGCCTCGCATACAGTTGCGCGAACGATATGCACAGATGTCAGAATTTGAGAGAGGTCGTGTTGTTGGGCTCAAAGAAGCCGGTTGGTCTTATCGGCGAATAGCTTGACATTTGAGCAGGAGCGATGTCACTATTAGACAATGTTGGCAGGAATAGGTGAACCATGGCCACACACACCGTCAAGAAGGAAGCGGTAGGCCTAGAGAAACGATAGAATGTGAAGACCGAGCAATCGTCAGAGCGGCATTCACAGCCCCAGATGCATCATTATCATCGATTGTACGTGCAACTAGTGCTTCAGTGATTGCAAGGACCATTCATAGATGGCTCACAGAAAGGGGGCTGAGGTCACGGTACCCCTTGCACTGACTACTCTTTCTCTCTCTCTCTTTCGACCTCTGTACAATGTCAAGCCCGTTTGCAGTGGTGTCAGGCTCATTCACACTGAAATGTCACTGACTGGAGTAGAATAGTCTTCAGTGATGAGTCCCACTTTGAATTGAGCCCCGATGACCAGCAAAGGTGAGTCTGGAGACGCCCCGGACAGCGGTGTGATACCAACCTGACTGTCTTTTGGTAGATAGGCTAACAACCAGGAGTGATTGTCTGGGGTGCCATTTCTTTCATAGTAGGACCCCTTTGGTTGTCATCCGTCACAACCTTTCAGCACAGCGGTACATCGACAAAGTTCTAAAGCCCGTTGTGCTGCCCTTCACATCACGCCACCCTGGGCTTACATTTCAGCAAGATAATGCCCGCCCCCACACTTCACGTTTCTACTGCTTGCCTTTAGTGTTTGCCGAACATTACCTTGGCCAGCAAGGTCGCCAGATCTCTCTCCTATTGAGCACGTTTGGAGCATTATGGGCAGGGACTTCCAACCAGCAGTAGAAACATGCTGGTTGTTACCAGCTGGCGCTTTAGATCGTCAACATGGACAGAATTTGACACAATATCCCTCAGGAGGATGTCCGCAACCTCTATCAATTGATGCCAAGCCAAATAACTGCTTGCATAAGGTTCAGAGGTGGACAAACACGTTACTGACTTTTTCACTTTGTGAAGCTTTATCACTTCAATAAATCATCCAATTTTTCTCAAACTGTAATAATTTGTTTTTCTGAACAGGTACACCACTTCCACCGATTTTTCATCCCATTCGGATAACTCTTTGTTGGTGCATCGTTTTTTTGTCTAAGAATGTAGATCTAACAGATAGCAACTTAACCTTATTTTAGCACCCTCTGTTTTAAAGTTCGCAGAAACACACTACTTAACATCACTTAGTTTGGCAAATGCTGCTCCACTCTCCAAATACAAATATAGTTGGCAAGTTAAATTAAAACTTACTATTTATTTGCCTTTTTAGTATTATTTTAGTATTATTTATGTAACTTTTGTAGATAGTATCCAGTTCCTTTTTGATTTATATGCATAGTTCATGTTGGGGAAGTTTTCTGTAGGCAAGTTTCTAAATTACTTTGGTTTTCTAAAAAATTTTGTTTTTCTACTCTTAATTAACTTTTTTTTTAAAAAAATTTAATTCTAGTTTTACTTGCTAATTTCTCAAAATTCCACTTGTTTAAATTTCTTTTTAATAATTCACAACATTTGGTTTTACTTTTGGTTTTGAATTTTACTTTCACCTTTGCCTACATGGATGACGAAACACGAATTGAATAATTGAAGAGTTAGGTTTGGAAGCAACTTCCTCTTGATAAGTCTGTCTCCTGCCTTCTCAACAATTATTCATTTATGCACTTTTATAAAATTTTTTAGGATTAAAAATTTTTTTTGAATTATACATATTTATTCATGGATTTTGATACGTGCACTTGATTTACATATGCTCTCAGAATTTAAATGATATTGTAGATTAGTTTGCAGCAATAATTAATCATTTATTTGTTTTCAATTAAATTTCATTATTTAAAATTTAATTAACTTTTTACTACTATATAGAATGTTTGTTAAATTCAAATATATAATATATATATATATCTATATATATTATTTTTGTAATTAAATTCCTTTTTCCTTTCAGCTTATGAAATAAAGTCTGGTGAATTTTTCAAAAAAAAAAAAAAAAAAAAAAAAAAAAATTATATATATATAGTATATGCTTTTCACTCAAAATTTGTATTGGCGAAAATGCTTAATTACAGAATGAGTTCTTTGGTACTCTACTTTGGTTCTAAATCCCAT